GCCGACTAAGTGAAAAATCTGCCGATGTGGCCTTGAGCAAGGCACTTAACCCTAGTCGCTCTGGATAAAAGCGTATGTAAAATGAAAAAAATGTAAATGGAAGGGACAAACAGACACCAAGGCAAGCGGTCTGTTGGAATGTGCAGGACAGGACACCGAATCCCCAAAGTTAAAACGTATTTCATAACACACTTCCTCATTGCATACCAAAGGTTATCCTACCCAACATTACATCATTCCCACAAAAGACAATGACAACATGTATTCTGATAAATACTTATTTGGCAGGGAGACAGAAAAGGTAGGTAGAACATTTTCTGAAATGGCTGTGTACAATGCAGTATGACTGCATTCATAGCACAGTCGATCTCTCCATAGTGTATTATAAGACTTGCCATAAGCATTCACAACAGCTCACGGTTCCTTCCAACTGGGTACAGATGTCATTTAAACGTCTAGTTTTGATTTTCATTTGGTTGAGTTGTCAACTAACGTGAATTCAACAAAACATTTCACCATGATATTGGATCTAGGTTAAAAGTTGGGTGAAAAAAATGACGCAATTCCCTTACATTTTACAAATCCAATCAGTTTTCCATGTTGATTCAAAAGTCATCACATTCAATGTTTTTGTTGAAATGACATGGAAACAACATTGATTCAACCAGTTTGTGTCCAGTGGGTTATGACCACCTTAACAAATGCATAACACCTTTATAAACACATTCAATATATGCATTAAAGTGGGAAGAGTGCAGTACATGGCCTGCTATAAGCATTCATAACAGCTCATGACTCCTTATAACAACCTAAATAAAGGTCTACATGCCAATAAATGCATTCATAATAGATCACACGAGGTGGCTCACAGAAAGGTCACCAAAAGGTCAAGTTAGTTCTTGTTAGAATTAAAGCATCTCATTGCACAATGTAAGAAGGTTAAGGGCAATTCCACGGTAACAGAATTATGCTGAGACTAAGATTTTTCACTTTAAAATGTGTCAAACAAGACCAATGATTGCAAAGTTAAACAAACCATACAACTCTATGCACAATGACTAATTTGAACAATTTCCACTGAACATTTTACCAAAACACATTTACTTGAAGAACAGTGCAGATGCAACATTTGGTAACAGAATGACAGTTTGTGCTGTTTGTGCCGTCATTCTGTCAGAGTTCACTAACAGTTCTCTACATGCAGTAGAAACTAGCCAGCATTACAACAAGAAAGAAAAAAACAAGCTTTTCTTTTTGTAGGTTTTACATTCATCTACGTTTTTTCGCCCCTTTTCCCTTAACCTGCAATATATGGGTATGCACATGTTATATTCACTATAGCTTCTCAATTGCCTTTAAAAAAATATGCACACAAAAAAGCTGCGCAATTCTACCTTAGAAAGTTAAATTTTTGTTTAACAGAAATACAACAACAAACAACAATATATGAAAAAAGCATCAGGGTTGTCTTTACGTTGCATATGTACAGGAAAGCCCTGAAATTACAAATCCATCTCTAATAATCGTCACTGCTTGTCCCACTTGCTCTTTCTCCACCTATCACAAAGTCCCAGTTCCCCAAACACACCCAATCAGAATGCAGCCCTCTCTCTACTTTCCAAAACCTCAGATCTCCTAAAAACAGCCATGGGGATGCCAGTTGTCACTCAAACCCACCTGACCCTACCCTATCCCATGTCAACTTACTGTGGGTGAGACTTTCCTTTGATTAATCCAGTTTGTCAATGCAGGTAGTAGCAAGTGGATAAAGAGTGTTCCCCTTACATTAGCCCTGGCCAGTGACCCATAAGGCCACTTTAGTGCAATTAAATACCAAAGGCGGGTTTTGTGGCAGGCATAGGGGTGTGACTGAGAATGACAGACTTGATTGGTCTGAAAATAACTCTAACGTATGAATGGCCAATCTGCTGCCAGTAGGACCAAACACACGATTGGTGTTTCGATTGGTGGAGAAGTGTCAGGTGCTTTGGTTGGGGGTGGAGAGAGAGCTGAGGGGGTGTGTTTAAGTGCTAACCTAAAACCAAACCAGAATCAGATAGGAGTCCAAAATAAGAGTCAGTCCAGAAATAAAACCTATTCTCTGTACACTACCTCATCTCAATAAAGTCTAAAAAAGGCAAGCACCTTTTAGGCAAAGGAAGACTAAACTAAATTCTTGTGAAAGCAGTGTATGAGTATGCTACGTAAGGAAAGCCCATGGTGTTGAAACACCATGATTTATCTGTTCTTAAGAAGACAACAAGCAACCATTGACTGACGAAGGACTAACTCTGGACCAGTGTTTCCCCATATATTACCAAGTTAGGGCAGACCGCCTTCTTGGTGCACCACCACAATAGAAAAGTCTAGGGGAAACCCAGACTCACAAAGTACAGCTGTACTATGCAGTACCACACTATTCCAGACAATATTGTCGGCACCATTGGGCTGAGTACACCACACACACAGAGAGAGAGCTAAACATACCAGTTCAAAAAGTTCTTATGGGGGGACCCAAGAGGTGTAGAAGCCCCATCCCTGAAACCCCATTTTGACACCAAGGCAGTGACGATCCAAAATAAAACAACCTCAAATTCAATTTCACTTCAAAATCTGTGTGTATAAAATCCATGTATAAAAGCAAGTCTTTGTGCAATGCAAGTTAGTGCAATTTATTTAGGTAAATCCTTTTTCCTCATAATGTTATTTTCAATGGCACTTAGTGAAGTTTCTGATCATGAAATACCGGGCTACTCTCCAGTCTGACCAGTGAGCTACTTACTGTAAGAACCAGCTTCTCTCAGACACTACTGGACATAACGCCTGATGGACAAGGTTACCAGCCAATCAGCAGGACCATATCTGTTGGTCATGGTTATCAAGGAAAAGACTGACAGGGCATGCTAAAATTAAGTTTGTTGTACCCAAATAACAACAAATGACAGTCATTCCCAGCTGTCTTAGAATGGCCTTCTACTGATGTCACCTCAATTAGAATTTGTGACTGCCAACAGCTGAGAACGCAGGTGTCACTATGACAACAGATTTGTCACATGGCCAAAGAACGGAAAGTCATAGACTGTGGCCATTGTCATAGAATAGGATGAAGGTAACCTAAGGAAAGAGAGGACAAGTTGCACCATGCATGTGTGTGTCCTGCTGTTGTAACTTGGGGTATGGCTGGTATTCAGTATTGGGAGGTGAGAGAGAGAGAAGTAGATAGAGAGAGAGAGAGAGAGAGAGAGAGAGAGAGAGAGAGAGAGAGAGAGAGAGAGAGAGAGAGAGAGAGAGAGAGAGAGAGAGAGAGAGAGAGAGAGAGAGAGAAGAGAGAGAGAGAGAAGAGAGAGAGAGAGAGAGAGTGTGTTGGGAGCAGAGTGAAGAGTGAGAGAGAGAGAGAGAGAGAGAGAGAGGGGGGGGGGGCAGCAGAAACTACATTAAAAGAGCTGGCAACAAAAAAATAAAAGTAGCTAAAGTAAAACAAATTATCTGTTTAAAAATATACATCTATATCAATGTGTCTGATCAGGAATCTAGGTACAATTCATGGGACGCAAATAATCCCTCTGAGAAAAAGATTTACATTTCAACACCCTTAGATAGATACCAGTTAAGAGCAGTAACTGGGAGTCCCGGTTGAGTAGGACTAGGTAGATTACCCACAGAGAACTAGAATTAGATAATATTTTTCTATGAACGTACACAGAAAATTGATTCCAGAACTCTGAGTAGCCAGCTATGCTACAGGAGGGTTTGATGTTGTTGTCCTCTGTAGCTCAGCTGGTAGAGCACGGCGCTTGAAACGCCAAGGTAGTGGGTTCGATCCCCGGGACCACCCATACACAAAAATGTATGCACGCATGACTGTAAGTCGCTTTGGATAAAAGCGTCTGCTAAATGGCATATTATTTATTATTATTATAACTGTAATCAACAATAGAGCTGATTAATCAAAGCAAGACCAGACTGTCCAAACCCTGGTGATTGCACTTCGCAACTACTAGTTGCCTTGGCAACTAATCACTGAAAACTGTTAAACTGTTAAATGTGAGAAATGAGAGTGAACAGTGTGGTTACAAAGTTTACATGTGGTCTGTTGAAAGATGTGTTGTTTCTGAAAGGTGCATATCTGTGTAGAGGTATAGGAAGAAAGGGAAAATATAAACTGTACATGTATGTTGAACAATTTGAAGGTTGAAAGTGTAACATTTGGTGCCAGCAGATGGAAAAAGCAGGAAGCTTATGATGTGTAGCTATGCACTATTAACTTCCCAAACAAAGAGATGGGGATTGTTGAGTTGAATTCCCATAAGAGCATGCGATGTGTTATATGAATAACAAACTTGTGTCTTAATAAAAGTGACATTCTGAGTGAATTTAGAGAGATTCTGATCCTGTTTTCCTTTGGTAGACATACTGCCCATTTCAATAGAGTGACCGTTGAGATTTGAAAACGATCCATTCAAATAAACGGCACGAAGTTAATCTGGTTTTAGTTCTAAAACGTCAACAGAGGTGATTTGAAAGACGCTGATGAGAGTGGTGTCAGGATCTTGTAGACTCAAACACAGTAGCTTCCATGATACTCGGACCAGTAAAGAACAACATGTTGAGTGTACACAATACCAAAAAGCTTATCTGAAATCTTCAACCACTGCCCTACAGTGAAGGCATGCAAAATTAGAAAGTACAAAACAAATCGAAAAGGTTCTGAATCACGTTTTGAATAATAGTTTTTTGGATTACCTAAAAAGTATCATCCTTAGAAATAAAAACAATGCTTCCAAAGCCATATACTTTTTTCTCTATTTTTTTTGTGTGTTTCGTGTGTTTAGCTGTCTGAGGACTAAGAGAAGCAAGCAGAGAGCCCCCTGCTGGTCAGGAGGAAGCAGTGCGTGCTCTAAGCAGCTTCATCACGGAGAAACCCCCACATCTCCTCAGTGGAAGACCACCTCAGTGAAGCGCTGGCAGAGGAAGAGTCCATCCCAGTGATGTAGTGGGGTTCAATCATTGAATCGCTGACAGGCTTTTTTCCAACGGCAGGCTGTGCACCACATGTCCCTCTTCTCCATGCCGTACACCTTCCGGCACTTTTTGGCCTCTCCGCGGGGTTTCCTTGGCAATCAAAGATATGACACACAGTTAGACTTCACACTACACTCCCATGAAGTTGATAAATACACTCACAAAGGAAGGGTCCACACACACACCCACACAATCTGTGTACCTGGTTCCTGGTGCTGATTTGGCCAGGGGGGCTGTAGAGGCGGGTGTCTTGCTGATGGTGGTGTGTGTGTGAAGGGCAGGCTGTCTCTTCTCCCCGAAGCTCACTGTGCGGGTGTGAGTCAAAGGGCCCTGCAGGGGCAAGCACAGGTCAAAGGGCATTCTACCAATCAATCATAGCATAGCAGCAATCATAGCAGCTTTCACCTAGTGCCCTGAGATTTTCCTGACCAGATAAAAATATTCACACTGGCAGGAGAGGCTGATCCTAGTTCAGCCCTGAAGACAACATGTCTAGATAGAAGACAACAAGAGGACCTGATCCTAGTTCAGCTCCTAAAGGCAACATGTCTAGATAGAAGACAACAACAGGAACTGACCCTAGTTCAGCTCCTAAAGGCAACATGTCTAGATAGAAGACAACAAGAGGAACTGACCCTAGTTCAGCTCCTAAAGGCAACATGTCTAGATAGAAGACAACAAGAGGACCTGATCCTAGTTCAGCCCTGAAGACAACATGTCTAGATAGAAGACAACAAGAGGAACTGATCCTAGTTCAGCTCTAAAGGCAACATGTCTAGATAGAAGACAACAAGAGGAACTGATCCTAGTTCAGCCCTGAAGACAACATGTCTAGATAGAAGACAACAAGAGGACCTGATCCTAGTTCAGCCCTAAAGGCAACATGTCTAGATAGAAGGGCTATGGGGTAGAGACAGAGGTAGAAGAAAGGAGGCAGCTAGCCTGACAGGAGTGGGGGAGAGAGAAATTGAAAAAAAGGTTTGGGGGTGGGGGGAGCGAGGGAGTGGGAGTAGAGAGATGAGAGATGGGGGAGAGAGAGATGGGGTGGGGCGAAGAGGGAGATATGAGAGGGTGAGAAATATGAGAAGTGGAAGAGCAACAGAGTGAGAGAGGTAGAAGAGATGTGGGGAGTGATGAAATAGAGAGAGAACGTGAGGATGAAGACAGAAGGAGAGAAAGCAGCCTGCTCACCGGTAAGCCTTTAAAAATGACAGGAGGGGACTGCCAGGACACACTGATCCCATCCCAATTCCCAATCCCATCATTCCCACCAGCCTGCTCCGAACACACAGGAATACTCAAAGGAGCAGTGGCCTGGAAAACATAGCACCGCACCACAGTGAGCGACAGAGAGAAGAGGAGGAAGGAGAAAGAGAAAGAGAAAGAGAAAGAGAAAGAGAGAGAGAGAGAGAGAGAGAGAGAGAGAGAGAGAGAGAGAGAGAGAGAGAGAGAGAGCGAGAGAGAGAGAGAGGGGGGAGGGGGGAGATAGAGAGAGGTAGGGGAGAGAGAAGGAGGAGGTGAGAGAAGGGGTGAATGAGTGGAGGTAGAGGGAGGTTGAGCGACAAAGAATGATGCAGAAAGAAAAGGGAGATAGATACTATACAGAGAGAAGATGGAGTAAAAGAGAGGAGACTACCTCATCTATAGAAACCTATTCATCTGCCATGTAGCATTAAGCCTGTGTACAGACCAGGGGAACCATAACATTACCTGTCAGGAAGTAGATGACAGCTACATGTCAGTCTCAGAGATGGGCAGTATTGTATCTGTTACATGTATTTCAATTACTTCTGAGTATTTTGTAATTTGTATTACACTGGGCTAAACTACACTCCAATGTATTTTGTAACAAGATACTTTCATAATCTGTCATTTGTATTTTCAAAATACTAAATACTTTTCTATACCATTTGCTATAGCGGTTCACCATTTTGTGGCCCCCTTTCAGAAGTCTAATGGCGCTATGGTGTGTTAAGAGCGTCTGCTAAATTAACTAAATATAAATGTATATGTAAAAATGAACAATTGCAAAGCATGCTGAGTATTCTAATGAGCTCCGCATCCCAAAAAAGGCCAATAATAATACCCAGTGTGCTTTGTAGTTCATTTTGGTATGTTAATTTTCACATATACATTTAGGTCATTTAGCAGACACTCTTATCCAGAGTGACTTAAGTGTTCCGCATGCTTCGGTTCGGTTGGCGGCTAGGCGAACCGAACGAGTGTTCGCTTGAAAAATGAGAAACAATAGGCAATAGTACTGTTTGTCTATCTTGAGATGCTGTAGCCAGTATACATTTCCTCAAAATAGTCAGAATTAATCTAAAATAACTCAAGAAATCTGTCATTAATTTGGACGTTTTTGCTGCTCTTAGTTGCTACATTTGACATCTAACTAAGATGTTTGTTTCAGTATTTCTCAAGTGAATTTTTTTTCATGAATACGATTCATCTCTCGTTGATTGACAACAAACACTTCATTGAAGAATCCCTACTGTTGACCAATCACTGACAAAGGGGCGTAGACTTTGGCTACTGACAAAAAAAACCTTGCCGAAGACCAAAATGAACAAAAACGTCACAAAATTGCGTCATAGAATATGCACGATGGGAAGCATGCGGATGCCTTTACAGAGTGCATTCAAATAAGGTAAATAAACAACAACATATCACAGTCATAGCAAGTAATACATTTCTGTAACCGTCACTGAAAATGTTGTTGCTGTTCAGGCCGGCTACTTGCAAACCTATTTCTGTATTTTAAAATACATGTATTTTAATTAAATACATTTCTAAATACAAGTAATTTGTAGTTTATTTTGATACATTGATCTTTTGGGTATTTTGTAATTATATTTTGTGATTTTACCCATCCCTGGACATTCTCTGGGTTCCAAAAGGGTTCTTCAGCTCCAAGTAGAACCCTCCTTGGTGCCAGGTAGAACCCTTTTGGGTTTCATGTAGAACCCTCTGTGGAAAGGGTTCTACCTGGAACCAAAAGGTTTCTACATGGAACCAAAAGGGTTCTCCTACATGGACAGCCGAAGAATCCTTTTAAGGTCTAGATAGCACCTTTTTTCTAAGAGTTTATAGCATCAGAGAGTACCATTGCCGCTGGAGAATAAGGTGTATGTACGTGCATGACTGTTCTTACCTGGTATGCGTGGTCAGTGCGAATATGGCAGAGCGTGGAGGGAGCTGATTGGCTGAGCAGGGTAGGGGGCGTGGCCATGCGTCCCCCTCATGGCGATGTGGGAGGGCTCAGAGCGAGGGAGACAGGCGGTGAGAGAGACAGGGGGGAAAATGGGGGGAGGGCCGGAGGTGGTGGGGGAGGTGGGCGTGAGGCTGGACAAGCCCTCTGATAGGCTGTCCATGTTGATCTCGATCTCCGAGTAGTAGAAGTCCTCCTCCCCGTCGCTGTAGTCCGAGTCGCAGTTCCGCCTGCATCGCAGGAGTGTGACATACGTGAAGCAGCTTATAATGAATGCTTTTAATGCCTTATATCACTGTGGTCCTCTGTAGCTCAGCTGGTAGAGCACGGCGCTTGTAACGCCAAGGTAGTGGGTTCGATCCCCGGGACCACCCATACACAAAAAAAATGTATGCACGCATGACTGTAAGTCGCTTTGGATAAAAGCGTCTGCTAAATGGCATATTATTATTATTATTACTTCATACCAAGCCACTACAAGCTTTAAAATGAGGAGCTGAGTCTTCTCTAACCAGCAGAGGGCAGTGATGCCCAGGCCTCAAAGCCACTGAGCTTATGGACTTGATTGGTCAAAGCCTTTAATGACTGACAGAGAGTGCAGGATAGCAACAGGAAGCTATAAAAACACACCAGCGAAACCTCCTCATGTGTTGATATGCTTCCCTCCTCCACCCTGCTCTTTGTAAGTGGATCCTAGACTAACAAACCAAATCATATTAAGAAGTTATAACAAACACTGAGAGCCCATGGAGAGACAGCGCTACCAATGTCGCACATACTCCACAATACTAGCTCCTCACTGATAGTAGATATTTTGACAAAACTTCAGTTAATAGAGTGAACTGTATTATATCTGGTATTTGGTATTTTATTAGGATCCCCATTAGCTGTTGCGAAAGCAGCAGCTACTCTTCCTGGGGTCCACACAAAACATGAAACATGACATAATACAGAACATTAATAGACAAGAACAGCTTAAGGACAGAACTACATCAATTTAGATATGTAGCCTACATATCAATACACACACACAAACTATCTAGGTCAAATAGGGGAGAGGTGTTGTGCCCTGAGGTGTTGCTTTATCGGTTTTTTGAAACCAGGTATGCTGTTCATTTGAGCAATATGAAATGGAAGGGAGTTCCATGCAATAATGGCTCTATATAATAAATATCTGCTCTCTTATTGGTCCTCATGTGATCTGAATGCATTGATTGGTTACAACAATTACCCATTCAACAATTGTGATTGGATATCTACAGCAGTTGACCTGTATTTGGCTCTGTGATTGGTTGATTGGTGCCTTACCCCAGGTGGACGGTGCGGATGTGTCGCTGGATCCCTGAAGAGGTGCTGAGGACCTTTTCACAGTTCTTCCACAAGCACTTGAACATCACCTTCATGGAGTTCTGAAACACAACACAACATAAGAGAAAACAGTGGAGTCAGTGCTATTGTAGTGACCTGAGTTCAAATACTATTTCAGGTATTTCAATTACATTTTAAAACAAGTATTCAGATACATTTTATTTGAAAAAACAAGTAGTTGAATATCGGAATGCATTTGGAAATACACTTGGAAATACACTTACAGTGAGGGAAAAAAGTATTTGATCACCCTGCTGATTTTGTACGTTTGCCCACTGACAAGGAAATGATCAGTCTATAATTGTAATGGTAGGTTTATTTGAACAGTGAGACACAGAATAACAGCAAAAAAATTCAGAAAAACGCATGTCAAAAATGTTATAAATTGATTTGCATTTTAATGAGGGAAATAAGTATTTGACCCTCTCTCAATCAGAAAGATTTCTGGCTCCCAGGTGTCTTTTATACAGGTAACGAGCTGAGATTAGGAGCACACTCATAAAGGGAGTGCTCCTAATCTCAGCTTGTTACCTGTATAAAAGACACCTGTCCACAGAAGCAATCAATCAATCAGATTCCAAACTCTCCACCATGGCCAACACCAAAGAGCTCTCCAAGGATGTCAGGGACAATATTGTAGACCTACACAAGGCTGGAATGGGCTACAAGACCATCACCAAGCAGCTTGGTGAGAAGGTGACAACAGTTGGTGCGATTCTTTGCAAATGGAAGAAACACAAAAGAACTGTCAATCTCCCTCGGCCTGGGGCTCCATGCAAGATCTCACCTCGTGGAGTTGCAATGATCATGAGAACGGTGAGGAATCAGCCCAGAACTACACGGGAGGATCTTGTCAATGATCTCAAGGCAGCTGGGACCATAGTCACCAAGAAAACAATTGGTAACACACTACGTACTGAATGTTATCAGATCTTCAACCAAAACCTAATATTAGATAAAGGGAACATAAGTGAACAAATAACACAACAATTACATATTTATTTCATAAACAAAGTTATGCAACACCCAATTCCCCTGTGTGAAAAAGTAATTGCCCCCACACTCAATAACTGGTTGTGCCACCTTTAGCTGCAATGACTCCAACCAAATGCTTCCTGTAGTTGTTGATCAGTCTCTCACGTCGCTGTGGAAGAATTTTGGCCCACTCTTCCACGCAGAACTGCTTTAACTCAGTTACGTGTGGGTTTTCAAGCATGAACTGCTCGTTTCAAGTCCTGCCACAATATCTCAATTGGGATTAGGTCTGGACTTTGACTAGGCCATTCCAAAACTTCCAATTTGTTGCTTTTTAGCAATTTTCATGTAGACTTGATTATGTGTTTTGGATCATTGTCTTGCTGCATGACCCAGCTGCGCTTCAGCTTCAGCTCACAGACGGATGGTCTGACATTCTCCTGTAGAATTCTCTGATACAGAGCAGAATTCATGGTTCCTTCTATTAAGGCAAGTCGTCCAGGTCCTGAGGCAGCAAAGCATCCCCAAACCATCACCACCACCACCATGCTTGACCTTTTGGTATGATGTTCTTATTGTGGAATGCAGTGTTTGGTGGTCGCCAGGCATAATGGGACCCATCTCGTCCAAAAAGTTAACTCAAGTTTGCCAAAAAGCACCTGGATGATCATCAAGACTCTTGGAAGAACGTTCTATGGACAGATTATTCAAAAGTATAACTTTTTGGCGAAAACCAAACTCTGCATTCCACAGTAAGAACATCATACCAAAGGTCAAGCGGTGGTGGTGGTGGTGTGATGGTTTGGGGATGCTTTGCTGCCTCAGGACCTGGACGACTTGCCTTAATAGAAGGAACCATGAATTCTGCTCTGTATCAGAGAATTCTACAGGAGAATGTCAGACCATCCGTCTGTGAGCTGAAGCTGAAGCGCAGCTGGGTCATGCAGCAAGACAATGATCCAAAACACATAATCAAGTCTACATGAAAATTGCTAAAAAGCAACAAATTGGAAGTTTTGGAATGGCCTAGTCAAAGTCCAGACCTAATCCCAATTGAGATATTGTGGCAGGACTTGAAACGAGCAGTTCATGCTTGAAAACCCACACGTCACTGAGTTAAAGCAGTTCTGCATGGAAGAGTGGGCCAAAATTCCTCCACAGGGACTGATCAACAACTACAGGAAGCATTTGGTTGGAGTCATTGCAGCTAAAGGTGGCACAACCAGTTATTGAGTGTAAGGGGGCAATTACTTTTTCACACAGGGGAATTGGGTGTTGCATAACTTTGTTTATGAAATAAATATGTAATTGTTGTGTTATTTGTTCACTTATGTTCCCTTTATCTAATATTAGGTTTTGGTTGAAGATCTGATAACATTCAGTATTACAAATATGCAAATGTTGAAAAAATTAGAAAGGGGGCAAATACTTTTTCATAGCACTGTACATGCCCGTCTGAAGTTTCACAATGAACATCTGAATGATTCAGAGGAGAACTGGGTGAAAGTGTTGTGGTCAGATGAGACCAAAATCGAGCTCTTTGGCATCAACTCAACTCGCCGTGTTTGGAGGATGAGGAATGTTGCCTATGACCCCAAGAACACCATCCCCACCGTCAAACATGGAGGTGGAAACATTATGCTTTGGGGGTGTTTTTCTGCTAAGGGGACAGGACAACTTCACCGCATCAAAGGGACGATGGACGGGGCCATGTACCGTCAAATCTTGGGTGAGAACCTCCTTCCCTCAGCCAGGGCATTGAAAATGGGTCGTGGATGGGTATTCCAGCATGATAATTACCCAAAACACACGGCCAAGGCAACAAAGGAGTGGCTCAAGAAGAAGCACATTAAGGTCCTGGAGTGGCCTAGCCAGTCTCCAGACCTTAATCCCATAGAAAATCTGTGGAGGGAGCTGAAGGTTCGATTTGCCAAACGTCAGCCTCGAAACCTTAATGACTTGGAGAAGATCTGCAAAGAGGAGTGGGACAAAATCCCTCCTGAGATGTGTGCAAAACTGGTGGCCAACTACAAGAAAAGTCTGACCTCTGTGATTGCCAACAAGGGTTTTGCCACCAAGTACTAAGTCATGTTTTGCAGAGGGGTCAAATACTTATTTCCCTCATTAAAATGCAAATCAATTTATAACATTTTTGACATGCGTTTTTCTGGATTTTTTTGTTGTTATTCTGTCTCTCACTGTTCAAATAAACCTACCATTAAAATTATAGACTGATTATTTCTTTGTCAGTGGGCAAACGTACAAAATCAGCAGGGGATCAAATACTTTTTTCCCTCACTGTACTCAAATACACTCCCATGCATTTAACCCAGGTATTTACAAGTAGTATTTGAAATAAGTATTTTAAGTAACATACTGAACAAAAATATAAACGCAACATTAAAGAATTACAAAGATTTTGAATATAAGGAAATCAGTCAATTTAAATAAATAAATTAGGCCCTAATGTATGGATTTCCCATGACTTGGCAGGGGCGCAGCCATGGGTGGGCCTGGGAGGGCATAAGCCCACCCACTTGGGAATTAGGCCGACCAACAGGGGAGCCAGGTGGACCAATCAGAATGAGTTGTTCCCCACAAAAGGGCTTTATACAGAAATAAATACTCCTCAGCCAAATTCTCTAAAACAACGTTTTGGTAGAGAAATTAACATTCAATTATCTGGCAACAGGTCAGGTGGACATTCCTGCAGTCAGCATGCCAATTGCACGCTCCCTCAAAACTTGAGACATCTGTGGCATTTTAGAGTGGCCTTTTATTGTCCCCAGCAAAGGGTGCACCTGTGTAATGATCATGCTGTTTAATCAGCTTCTTGATATACCACACCTGTCAGGTGGAGGGATTATCTTGCCTCCTCAACCCTCCTCTCCTCCCTTTCTGTATCTTTTGACTCTCTATGTCCCCTATCCTCCCGGCAGGCTCGGTCCTCCCCTCCTGCTCCGTGGCTTGACGACTCATTGCGAGCTCACAGAAGAGGGCTCCGGGCAGCCGAGCGGAAATGGAGGAAAACTAGGCTCCCTGCGGACCTGTCATCTTTTCACTCCCTCCTCTCTACATCCTCTTCCTCTGTTTCTGCTGCTAAAGCCACTTTCTACCACTCTAAATTCAAGCCTCTGCCTCTAACCCTAGGAAGCGCTTTGCCACCTTCTCCTCCCTGCTGAATCCTCCTCCTCCTCCCCCTCTCTGTGGATGACTTCGTCAACCATTTTGAAAAGAAGGTTGACGACATCCGATCCTTATTTATTAAGTCAAATGACACCGCTGGTCCTGCTCACACTGCCCTACCCTATGCTTTGACTTCTTTCTCCCCTCTCTCTCCAGATTAAATCTTGCGACTTGTGACGGCCGGCCGCCCAACAACCTGCCCGCTTGACCCTAACCCTTCCTCTCTTCTCCAGACCATTTCCGGAGATCTTCTCCCTTACCTCACCTCGCTCATCAACTCATCCTTGACCGCTGACCATGTCCCTTCTGTCTTCAAGAGAGCGAGAGTTGCACCCCTCCTCAAAAAACCTACACTTGATCCCTCCAATGTCAACAACTACAGACCAGTATCCCTTCTTTCTTTTCTCTCCAAAACTCTAGAGCGTGCCGTCTCTAGCCAACTGTCCTGCTATCTCTCTCAGAATGACCTTCTTGATCCAAACCAGTCAGGTTTCAAGACTGGTCATTCAACTGAGACTGCTCTTCTCTGTGTCACGGAGGCTCTCCGCACTGCTAAAGCTAACTCTCGCTCCTCTGCTCTTATCCTTCTAGACCTATCCGCTGCCTTTGATACTGTGAACCATCAGATCCTCCTCTCCACCCTCTCCGAGTTGGGCAGCTCCGGCGCTGCTCACTCTTGGATTGTGTCCTACCTGACAGGTCGCTCCTACCAGGTGGCGTGGCGAGAATCTGTCTCCGCACCATGTGCTCTCACCACTGGTGTCCCCCAGGGCTCAGTTCTAGGCCCTCTCTTATTCTCTCTATACACCAAGTCACTTGGCTCTGTCATATCCTCACATGGTCTCTCCTATCATTGCTACGCAGACCACACACAATTAATTTTCTCCTTTCCCCCTTCTGATAACCAGGTGGCGAATCGCATCTCTGGCAGACATATCAGTGTGGATGTCGGATCACCACCTCAAGCTGAACCTCGGCAAGACGGAGCTGCTCTTCCTCCCGGGGAAGGACTGCCCGCTCCATGATCTCGCCATCACAGTTGACAACTCCATTGTGTCCTCCTCCTCCCAGAGTGCAAAGAACCTTGGCGTGACCCTGGACAACACCCTGTCGTTCTCCGCTAACATCAAAGCGGTGACCCGATCCTGCAAGTTCATGCTCTACAACATTCGCAGATTACGACCCTACCTTACACAGAAAGTGGCACAGGTCCTAATCCAGGCACTTGTCATCTCCAATCTGGATTACTGCAACTTGCTGTTGGCTGGGCTCCCTGCCTGTGCCATTAAACCCCTACAACTTATCCAGAACGCTGCAGCCTGTCTGGTGTTCAACCTTCCCAAGTTCTCTCATGTCACCCCTGCTCCTCCGCACACTCCACTGGCTTCCAGTTGAGGCTCGCATCTACTACAAGACCATGGTGCTTGCCTACGAAGCTGTGAGGGGAACGGCACCTCCTTACCTTCAGGCTCTGATCAGACCCTACACCCAAACGAGGGCACTACGTTCATCCACCTCTAGCCTGCTAGCTCCCCTACCTCTACGGAAGCACAGTTCCCGCTCAGCCCAGTCAAAGCTATTCGCTGCTCTGGCACCCCAATGGTGGAACAAGCTTCCCCACGACGCCAACCTTCCGGAGACACTTGAAACCCTACCTCTTTAAGGAATACCTGGAATAGTGTAAAAGTAATCCTTCTTTCCCCACCCCCCATTAAAAAAAAAGTTGTTGTCCCACTGGCTATCATAAGTTGAATGCACCAATTTGTAAGTCGCTCTGGATAAGAGCGTCTGCTAAATGATGTAAATGTAAACAAAGGATAAAATGCTCACTAACAGGGATGTAAAAAAATGTTGCACAACATTTGAGAGAAATAAGCTTTTTGAGCATATGGAACATTCTGGGATCTTTTATTTCAGCTCATGAAACATGGGACCAACACTTTACATGTTGCGTTTATATTTTTGTTCAGTATACCTTTTGTTAATAGTTCACAAAAATGTATTGCATCGTACTGGCCGCCTACTCGTCTTCTTTTTTAAAATTTTTTTTGAAAAAGGGGGTTTTTACCCTTTCCCCCTTTCCCCCCTTTCCCCCCCTTTTTCCCTCTAAACTGTTTTTCCCCTCCCTTCCCCTTTCTCCTTTTCCCTTGCTCTCCATCCCCATTCACCTCCTTTCCTCTCACCTCCTTTCTTGGTACTTACAAATCTCTTTTTCCTCCTCTCTATGTCCCCTTCTCCTTCCTCTGCTCCCCTCTCGGCTCTTCCCGCCCTACATCTCTACTCCTCTCTCACCTCTCTCCCATCCCTCTCTCGCCTCTCTTACCCTTCCTGACACCCCGGCAGTCTCTCTTCTCTCTTTCCCCAATCTCCAACCGTGATTCCCTCTTCTCTCTCCCTTATCTCCTCTGAGGGGCCCATTTCCTCTCTCGGTAACTCTCTCAATGGATTCCCATTCTTCTCCGGGGTCTTTGACCATTGGTTTCTTTTTTAGTCATTCTCTCTTTTCTTCTACTGGTCGCTACTCTCTCTTGTTCATCTTCGTTCTCCCTCCCCCTTTCTTCTGTCAATTCGTCCCTTTCTGAGGATATCTCTTTCGTCTTATCAGTACTGGGGGGGAGATGTTCAACCCCCGTCAGTGTCTCTGCGCTCTAGTTTTTGCTCGCGAGTAACGGGGAGAAAAAAAGGAAAAGCATTGGCTGATTTCTGTCGTGCCGGTTATCTGCATCTTAAAATATTCTTCGTTTTCGGTCTGGTTCCGATCTGGTGCGTCCGAGAGTTTGGCGGGGTGGGAGGCGGATCGGACTCGGGAGGTCGAATGATCAGAGAGGGGGGAAGAGGGGGTCCACCTTCCTCGGCTCGGGCCGTGTGGACGGGAAAGGGATCTCATCCATCCGTACTGGCCTGGGTTCATGTTTAAAAGATCTCTCTCTCTTCTCTCTCTTCTCTCTCTCTCTCTCTCTCTTCTCAATCCCCAAAAAACAGTGCCTTTGGCCAGTGACCCTAATTGAATATGCTCACAATCTCTACTTTGTCCTTTGACCCACACAGTTTCAACCTCTCAACAATAAAAGCTAGTATTTAGGAAGCTGTTAACCTCTTCAAATCTGAAAAAGACAAATCTCAAAATAGGTATTTTAAAACATGCAGACTAAGGACATAGACAGAGCTGTGTTTTTCAGACTCATATTTTCCCAGGCAGCGTGCAGATCTCTGATGTTGGCAGTGGAGGGAGAGATGTGTTGGGACCTGCATCAGTAGTAATGACAGGCAGTGGGCGTAGGTTCTCTACCTTTTAACAGCTTCCAGACAGGGAGGGAGAGAGTGAGTGAGTGAGTGAGAGAAAAAGGAGGGAGAGGAGGGAGAGAGAGACTTTAAAAGACAAACTATAGAACAGGCTTATTGGCGGCTGATCAATTGAATTGAACCCTTTATACAGTCTCTATTCTTATGCAATCCACACAATCCATTATACACAACACCTCTAATGGCACTGGGAAACATAGGAATATTTTTTAGTGTTTCATAACGGAAAATCTGCAGCGTCTCAACAAACATTGACAAATCCTTTAATGCCAAAAGTGTTTTCCTTCCATTGTAACACTATTACAGTAACACTGTAGTGATTAACACATTCCCTATGACTCCTCTACACAGTCAGATACATGTAGGATCTTCATTTGATCACCCTGTTGCAGGAGAACTTTCCTGTAATGCAAGAAATGTTAAACTTGTAGTGTATTTGAGGTCTAAAAAGGCTTCTGAAGTTTGTAATTTCCACTTTGAAATTTCAGACTTGATTTTCCCTTTTGAAAAATATATCAACCACTACAAAAATGTCCATTAATTTTTTATTAACATAATAATTCACATTTCCTGTTGCTGCAGGATTATATTCCTGCTGTAGCAAACTGGCTCAAATTAAGATCCTACTTCTGTAGTACACGACTCAACACAGTCAAATGCCCTGCCGCTACGGGACTACCCAGGCTGCAGCGGTCTGCCAGTCAGGACTTAGCTAGGCCCCTGGTCATGGCCAACTACACTGAACCACCACAGTAAACTGCCTGTTAAGTTTACCCAGGGCAGGTTTATACACAAGTCATCTAAACTGTAACGACTTTATATATAGCCAGCTATTCATTAATAACCACATATGCATGTCAGTTAAAGTCTTGTTGAGATGGCCACCCAAGTCCTTGTGTACAGTTCATGGAATTTTTACAGTTTGTCTAGCACTGTGAAATGTTATGTCACATCTTTACAAGCGAGGCTGAAGAACAAATGTCAAACATTAAAAGAAGACATTTCATTTAACGGATGACTTGACAAATGAGCACAATCCTTCGGTCCTGTAACAAAGTTTAATCATAATTTGGTTCAAGTGCTTAATAATGGGTAGGCTACAACGTGTTTGTCCTATTCTGGAGATGCTAGTCAATGAGTGCAGTCCCATCTAGAATAACTTCATTCACCATGACTTTTTTCTTTGTTTCCTGTCAGGATATTGTATTTCTATGGCCTGGCCTGCTGCATGCTGTACGACCTTGTGTTTCAGCCAACATGGTCTCTGTTACCTCTGGAGTTGGATCCACACACTCCTACATCAAATCAAATGTTAAAAAAGTAAGACAATAAAATAACAATAATGAGGCTATATATAGGGTCAATGTGCGGGGCTACAGGTTAGTCGAGGTAATTTGCACATGTAGGTAGGGGTAAAGTGACTGTGCATAGACAATAAACAGCGAGTAGCAGCACTGTAAAAACAAAGGGGCGGGGGGGGGGGGGGGGGGGGGGTCAATGCAAATATACCGGATGGCCATTTGATTAATTGTTCAGCAGTCCCTCTGTAGCGCCTTGCGGTCAGATGTCGAGCAGTTGCCATACCAGGCGGTGATCCAACTGGTCAGGATGCTCTCGATGGTGCAGCTGTATAACTTTTTGAGGATCTGGGGACCCACGACAAATCTTTCCAGTCTCCTGAGGGGGAAAAGGCGTTGTCGTGCCCTCTTCACAACTTTCTTGGTGTGTTTGGACCATGATAGTTTGTTGGTGATGTGGACACCAAGGAACTTGAAACTCTCGACCCGCTCCACTACAGCCCCGACAATGTGAATGGGGGCGTGTTCGTCCCTCCTTTTCCTGTAGTCCACGATCATCTCCTTTGACTTGCTCACATTGAGGGAGAGGTTGTTGTCCTGGCACCACACTGCAAGGTCTCTGACCTCCTCCCTATAGGCTGTTGTCGGTGATCAGGCCTACCACCTTTGTGTCGTCAGCAAACTTAATGATGGTGTTGGAGTCGTGCTAGGTATACTCCTCAATGCCATTGGATGAATTCCGGAACATATTCCAGTCTGCGCTAGCAAAACAATCCTGTAGCGTAGCATCCGCGGCCACTAGGAGCGCCGCTTCTGGATGAGCATTTTCTTGTTTGCTTATGGCCTTATACAGCTCGTTGAGTGCGGTCTTAGCGCCAGCATCGGTTTGTGGTGGTAAATAGACGGCTAGGAAAAATATAGATGAAAACTCTCTTGGTAGATAGTGTGGTCTACAGCTTATCATGAGGTACTCTACCTCAGGCGAGCAATACCTCGAGACTACCTTAATATTAGACATCGCACACCAGTTGTTATTGACAAATAGACACACACCCCCACCCCTCGTCTTACTGGACGTAGCTGTTCTGTCCTGCCGATGCACGGAAAACCCAGCCAGCTCTATATTATCCGTATATTATATATGAGCCCCTCCAGTCTCCACTCCTATATCTGAGCCCCTCCAGTCTCTACTATATCTGAGCCCCTCCAGTCTCCACTCCTATATCTGAGCCCCTCTAGTCTCCACTCCTATATCTGAGCCCCTCCAGTCTCCACTCCTATATCTGAGCCCCTCCAGTCTCCACTCCTATATCTGAACACCTCCAATCTCCACCCCTATATCTGAGCTCCTCCAGTCTGCACTCCTATATACAGTGAGGGAAAAAAGTATTTGATCCCCTGCTGATTTTGTACGTTTGCCCACTGACAAAGACATGATCAGTCTATAATTTTAATGGTAGGTTTATTTGAACAGTGAGAGACAGAATAACAAACAAAAAATCCAGAAAAATGCATGTCAAAAATTGTATAAATTGATTTGCATTTTAATGAGGGAAATAAGTATTTGACCCCCTCTCAATAAGAAAGATTTCTGGCTCCCAGGTGTCTTTTATACAGGTAACGAGCTGAGATTAGGAGCACACTCTTAAAGGGAGTGATCCTAATCTCAGCTTGTTACCTGTATAAAAGACACCTGTCCACAGAAGCAATCAATCAATCAGATTCCAAACTCTCCACCATGGCCAAGACCAAAGAGCTCTCCAAGGATGTCAGGGACAAGATTGTAGACCTACACAAGGCTGGAATGTGCTAAAAGACCATCGCCAAACAGCTTGGTGAGAAGGTGACAACAGTTGGTGCGATTATTCACAAATGGAAGAAACACAAAATAACTGTCAATCTCCCTCGGCCTGGGGCTCCATGCAAGATCTCACCTCGTGGAGTTGCAATGATCATGAGAACGGTGAGGAGTCAGCCCAGAACTACACGGGAGGATCTTGTCAATGATCTCAAGGCAGCTGGGACCATAGTCACCAAGAAAACAATTGGTAACACACTACGCCGTGAAGGACTGAAATCCTGCAGCGCCCGCAAGGTCCCCCTGCTCAAGAAAGCACATATACAGGCCCGTCTGAAGTTTGCCAATGAACATCTGAATGATTCAGAGGAGAACTGGGTGAAAGTGTTGTGGTCAGATGAGAGCAAAATCGAGCTCTTTGCCATCAACTCAACTCGCCGTTTTTGGAGGAGGAGGAATGCTGCCTATGACCCCAAGAACACCATCCCCACCGTCAAACATGGAGGTGGAAACATTATGCTTTGGGGGTGTTTTTCTGCTAAGGGGACAGGACAACTTCACCGCATCAAAGGGACGATGGACGGGGCCATATACCGTTCAAAACTTGGGTGAGAACCTCCTTCCCTCAGCCAGGGCATTGAAAATGGGTCGTGGATGGGTATTCCAGCATGACAATGACCCAAAACACACGGCCAAGGCAACAAAGGAGTGGCTCAAGAAGAAGCACATTAAGGTCCTGGAGTGGCCTAGCCAGTCTCCAGACCTTAATCCCATAGAAAATCTGTGGAGGGAGCTGAAGGTTCCAGTTGCCAAATGTCCGCCTCGAAACCTTAATGACTTGGAGAAGATCTGCAAAGAGGAGTGGGACAAAATCCCTTCTGAGATGTATGCAAACCTGGTGGCCAACTACAAGAAACGTCTGACCTCTGTACTTTTTTCCCTCACTGTATGAGCCCCCTCCACTCTCCATTCCTATATATGAACCCCTCCAGTCCCTACTCCTATATCTGAGCCACTCTAGTTTCCACTCCTATATCTTTTTACACCCCCTCCTCCCTCTCTAAACTCTCTTTTTACACACCTCCTCCCCTTTCCCCCTCCTTACTCCCCTCTTCATCTCAGAGGTGGGTGAGGGGGCTAATGGCTCTTCTTGATACTGAAACCACATTTACATCATGGACTGTTTCCACCGCATGAAAATACAAGGGAAGAAAAAGGAGAGCAAGAAGGAAACAGAGAGTGAGAACACACTCCATCACACACGTTAAAGATTGACAGGCCTTTTCTCAGGGCCAAAGTAGTGTCACAGGATCCTAAATCATGTTGTTGTTGCTTTTGCAGAGGGGTTTCAGAGGCCCCAGACACTACTCTGAGTTAGGAACACTACACACTAGGGCAGGGGTTCCTAAATCCATGGGAGCCACTGTTGGCCAATGGACAATTCCTACTGGGTCGCAGCTTAGGGTTGGCTGTGGCTACAAATATTGTTCTCATCTGGAGAGTCACAAGAACTGGACTGGATAAATAAAAAAAGCTGTTATCTATGAACTCCTTGGAGATTAGGAGATGAGTATGGAAAGATGTTCAGTAGCAACCCCCTGACCCTGACCCCTGACCCCGGGATATACCTTTCGCTTCCGGTGTATGGGGTCCTCAAACGGAAAGTGAGTGCTCTCTGTGATGTCCTCGATGACGTCATCGCCCTGGGAGGGGAGCAGGAAGCTCTGGCTGGCATCGTTGGAGAGGGGCGGGGACGGCGTGGAGGGCACTGATTGGTCGCTGGCGTCCCAGCTCCAGTTGCCACTGGTGGAGCTGCTGTAGCTGGTCGACAGCACCTCCTTCCACCCCCTGCTGGCCGGCTCCGGAACTGCAGCTGGAGACAGCGGAGTGCCGGTCAGTACCACGCTATCATAGCCAAGGAGGCAGCCAATCTGAGAATATAGCTTTAATTCACTTATCTTTGCTTATTACTCTAAACACCATGTCACAAAATGTGTTTTTCATTGCCTTGTGGTGAAACATAATGAAAAATAAGAGGTAGAGCCTCCCAGCAGGATGAGGTGTGTGTTGGAGATTATATTAACTCATATGAATCAATAACTGACTGGTCCATGGAGGCTAGTGTAGATGAGGAGGATCCTACAGAGAATACAGTCATAGGAGTTCTACATGTTGTCTTAGGGAAGACTAACCTCTTATCCCGCAAAGAGATTGAGGGTTAAGCACAACAGCACAACAATGAAACCAGGGGAAAGAAAATAAGATTTTGGAGGGAAAACAGGTACATTTGAATCATGTACTGTATGAATAGAGTTTGATGACATTTCTGATTTATCATGAAAAATGTATGCATCTTTGCCCTCTCTCCCCACATACTGTACAGTATACACCCCATCACCGAAGACAGTGCATTCGGAAAGTATTCAGACCCTTGACTTTTTCCACATTTTGTTAGGTTACAGGTATTGATTAAATTGTCTTTTCCCCCTCATCAATCTACACACAATACCCCATAATGACAAACCAAAAACAGGTGTTTAGAAATTGTTCAAATGTATATGTAAATGTAAATGTATATAAAAACCCCCTGGAAATATCACATTTACATAAGCATTCAGACCCTTTACTCAGTACTTTGTTGAAGCACCTTTGGCAGTGATTACAGCCTCGAGTCTTCTTGGGTATGTCGCTACAAGCTTGGCACACCTGAATTTGGGGAGTTTCTCCCATTCTTCTCTGTAGATCCTCTCAAGCTCTGTCAGGTTGGATGGGGAGCATCGCTGCACAGCTATTTTCAGGTCTCTCCAGAGATGTTCGATCGGGTTCAAGTCCGGGATCTGGCTGGGCCACTCAAGGACATTCAGAGACTTGTCCCGAAGCCACTCCTGCGTTGTCTTGGCTGTGTGCTTAGGGTCGTTGTCTTGTTGGAAAGTGAACCTTCGCCCCAGTCTGAGGTCATGAGCGCTCTGGAGCAGGTTTTCATCAAGGATCTCTCTGTACTTTGCTCTGTTCATCTGTCCCTCGATCCTGACTAGTCTCCCAGTCCCTGCCGCTGAAAAACATCCCCACAGCATGATGCTGCCACCACCATGCGTCACCATAGGGATTGTACCAGGTTTCCTCCAGACGTGACGCTTGGCATTCAGTCCAAAGAGTTCAATCTTGGTTTCATCAGACCATAGAATCTTGTTTCTCATGGTCTGAGAGTCCTTTAGGTGCCTTTTGGCAAACTCCAAGTGGGCTGTCATGTGCCTTTTACTGAGGAGTGGCGTCCGTCTGGCCACTCTACCATAAAGGCCTGATTGGTGGAGTGCTGCAGAGATGGTTGTTCTTCTGGAAGGTTCTCCCATCTCCACAGAGGAACTCTGGAGCTCTGTCAGAGTGACCATCGGGTTCTTGGTTACCTCCTTGACCAAGGCCCTTCTCCCCCGATTGCTCAGTTTGGCCGGACGGCCACCTTTAGGAAGAGTCTTGGTGGTTCCAAACTTCTTCCATGTAAGAATGATGGAGGCCACTGTGTTCTTGGGGACATTCAATACTGCAGAAATTGTTTGGTACCCTTCCCCAGATCTGTGCCTCGACACAATCCTGTCTCGGAGCTCTACGGACAAGTAAGCATTTCACTGTAAGGTCTACACCTGTTGTAATCGGCGCATGTGACAAATCAAATTTGATTTGAATTCCTTCGACCACATGGCTTGGTTTTTGCTCTGACATGCACTGTCAACTGTGGGACCATATTTAGACAGGTGTGTGCCTTTCCAAATCATGTCCGAACAAATTGAATTTACCACAGGTGGACTCCAATCAAGTTGTAGAAACATCTCAAGGATGATCAACGGAAACAGGATGCACCTGAACTCAATTTCGAGTCTCATAGCAAAGGGTCTGAATACTTATGTAAATAAGGTATTTCTGTTTTTAATTTGTTATATTTCTGTTTTAAATTTGCAAAAAAAAAGAAAAGTTTTTGCTTTGTCATTATGGGGTATTGTGTATAGATTGATGAGAATGATTAATTTTTAAATCCATTTTAGAATAAAGCTGTAACGTAACAAAATGTGGAAAAAGTAAAGGGGTCTGAATAGTTTCCGAATGCACTGTATGTTGTGGATTAACCCATTTGAATCATTAACAGATATAAACTGTGGAGATGGGGACAAGAGTGGTTAAATACAGTATACTGTAGATTTAGGGAATGGGGAAGAAAACCCCCACAATGTTAATGGCTAGGTTTTGACCACAATGGATCCCGGCCAGGCTTACATAGGGAGTCCTTTTCCAAAGGCACACTGACACAGCCACACATGACCCTAATGTGTGTTTCAGTACAGTGGCTAGTTACCAGCCCTCATCTCCTCACCTCAGAGTGATCAGAACAATAATGAACAATAGGGGGAAATGGATGTTGATTTAGAGGTACAGTAGGGTTGCCAGCCCTCCTGGTTTGGCCTGGGGTCTCCTGGAAACAGCCTTATTCCTCCTGGCGAGCAGTACAGCTGTTAATGCCTAAATGAAATTAATATATTAAGTGTGAGCAAGGTCTTTTATAATCTGTATAACCCAGTCATCTGGGTCTGAGTTGACAAACCCTAGTATAGAGGTCAGCTTTAGTCATTTATTAATAGAGGGTGATGACAAAAAGTGGGGAATTCCTGGTAAAAGCGATAAACAAGTGTCCTCTCACCAAACTTTTTCTCATCCCTCTATCCCTCTCCTTTTCTCTATAAAAGAAAGAGCAATCAGCTTAATGGCACTCCCAGGAGTTGCCGTGTTGCCTGATTAAAAAGAAAACCGTAATAAAAATTAGCATAAAATCAAATAAAGCTGCTCTGCAATGAGGGGGATGGGATGGTAAAAAACAACAGCAAAAGAAAAACACTTGCATGATTAAGTTAAAGAGAAAATCAACTCAAAAACTATATTTTGGTATTTTTTTCATTAGCCCACTGTTGCTATTTTAAGTTTATAAAATATTGGGCTTCCAAGAAGCAAAGTGTCAAGCTGCAAAATACTATCCAATATCTTGAAAACTTTTGGGACTGTATCAACAGTGGACTAATGAAAAAAATACAAAAATATCGTTTTTTAGTGGATTTCCCTTTAAGGTTAAAAATAGAAGTCCGGACTCTGACCGTCTATTGACGTTGGCACAGTGATGAGTGGGGTCCAGAATTAAAACATGGACAATTCTGACACATGGGCCGATTTCGCCTGTCCCCACAAGGAAAAAGGCGATTTTAGGCTTAGGGGTTAGGTTTAGGGTTACAATAAGGGTGAGAGGTTAGGTTTAGGGGTTTAGGGTTTAGTTAGGGTTAAGGTTAGGGAAAATAGGATTTTGAATGGGAATCAATTGTTTGGTCCCCACAAGGATAGTAAAACAAAGATGTGAATGTGTGTGTGTGTGTGTGGGGGGGGGGTCTTACCTGAGGATGTCTGGGTGAGGACCAGTGGGGAGGTGGACAGTGATGTCAGGACAGTGGCAGCCATTACCTCCTTATCAGCATGACCTGAGGGTTTCCTGCAACACACACCAGATACAGGGTTACACAGTATGGACACAAAACCGATGGAGATGCTAGAAACACACCAACCTGCATAACAAGTGGGAGGTTTCTGTATCAAACCGGTGGACCTGTATCAGTCATTCTACAATATATATATAAGCATACTAGCATAGCAAACTGGCTCATTGTCCACTATAATGTCCTTAGAGTTAGATTTCCCCACTGCAGACTGACCAATTGCTGTGTTCGCCATTGCAGACCACCCATCCACTGAGTCTGCCGCAGCCAAACCGACCAATCATGTGTCTGCCATAGCCAAACCTGGAAACCAGGAAAAAGCCCAACCCTACCCCAATCCCAACTCTGAAATATACCAGCCATGCTTTCTTTAGACAGAACAACAAACTGTTTTATAGCATGGAATGGAAAATTCCAGTACAATAATAAATACTGTTATCCCGTCCCCTGTGAATGCTGAAATTCCCCCTTAGCACAGAATGCTGACCAGACCGACATTCGGATAACGTTCGGATAATGTTCAGATAACCAGAACACTCCTTTTGCAGAGCACTGTCACATTAGTCTAGCAGTGTTTCCAACAGGGGGTGGGTGAAGGCTAAAGACACTGGCGAGAAGATTCGGTTTTGTTTATTCATGGTTCATTGCTATTGGTTCAGAGGGAAATTCCAAACACCTGAGATGGGTCACAGCAAAAGCTTCTCTAGCTCCCTGAGAGAATAAGGATGATATGATCATATGATAGGGGGAAGCTGGCTATGTGTAAGGCATATATTCCGCTACAGCAGTCAGCTGCTTTAAAAAAGGAAGTAAAGTGAAAGAGCAAGAGGATAAGAGATGGGGACAGAGAGAGAGAGAGAGAGACCAGAGAGAGAGAGAGAGAGAGAGAGAGAGAGAGACAGAGAGACCAGAGAGAGAGAGAGAGAGAGAAAGAGAGAGAAAAGAGAGATCAGAGAGAGAGAAGAGAGAGAGAGAGAGAGAGAGACCAGAGAGAAGAGAGAATAGAAATATAGACATAGAGAGAGAGAGTAGAAGAGATATAGAAATATAGAGCAAATAGATCAGAGATAGAGAGAGAGAGAGATGAGAGAGAGACAGAGATAAAGAAGAGAGAGAAAGAGAGATTCACTCTCTCTCTCTCTCTCTCTCTACTTCTACTATCTAGAGTATATAAATAGAGACTCAAATAGAGGATATAGTCATATATATAGACGTTTTCATTGTTGTTTATAACCCTCTCTGTGCCCAGCACACTCCTTGCTGAGCCTTCAGCTCAACCCTGTATTTATACTGCCCACTGGCATGTAGAACTCTACACACTAACTGAACAGGGTAGTTTTTGAGAGAGGGTTATCTAATAAGAAACATAAAGAGCCTGC